CGATTAAAAATTGACATTTTATAATAAAACCATATACACATAGTAAATGCATGTAAGAGTTATCATTCTTGAAAAACTTCATAGTAGTGAAATAGGTAGCCGGTTTCCTGAAGTACAGAAAAATGGACACATGTGACTCATTGATAAAAAAAACCTGAATTAATGCCTGGATTGCTTTGAAAAACTTTGATATTGAAAAAACACACTGTTCTGTCAATAATAAACATACAATATTCATCAGTTTAATATTAAACATTAGAATATGCGGAAATTTTGATACCGTCTCCCTACATTAGATTTTCAGCTAGGGATGTACTTCCTATTTCAGGTGAACATCTACAGCGCCTTATTGTGGTGACATATGCCGACACGAATTGTTCCTATTATAGATGCACACGACATTCTCTTTGTTTTTGTTTTCTAAATCATTGTATTGAATCATTGCAAATTATCATAGTCAAAACGTTCCATGTCATGTTCAAACTATATATTGTTAGTCTACGTCATGGTCAAACCTTATGTGCATTGGACACCTGTCCCACTTCAGGCCAAACACTAGAGAATTCCACGGTAGCTTTATCGTAGCTCGACTAGACCCTGATTCTTCCGTTGAACAGGTAATTTAGTTGATTAGAACGACAATATAATGATCTGATGTCAAGGGTTCGAATCCTGGATTGTAAACTATGTTAATGATTTCGTCTTATTTTTTTATTCTTTCATAAAGCCCCGCAAAGTACCTTTTTTCCTCTCAGAAATGATTTATCAAAATTTTAGTCATGCTGGACAAAGGTTTCAAGTGAATAGTTACATCGAGATTTGAATAGGATAAATACTGTAGACAAACTGTATATATTCAGTCTGAGTCATGGTAAAATTGTGTAAACACGAAGGTTGAAATATATCAAAATGAAGCATGAACTCGTGCGATAAATTTCACTGCACTTTTAACTTACCCATTACCATTCAAAAACATTTGGACCGTCGAAGTCTAATCCCAAACATAGGTGTTTGGCTTTATATAATACATGTTTGTGTCCGTCTGAATAAAATGAATTATAATATAAGAATGTTAAGCTGGTAAACAATCTGTAGCATATTTAGACGTGATAACATGGAACATAGGGAATCTAAACTGAGCGGCACTACTGATGGTCGATCTGTTGAAGTCTACAAGTATCCCACTCATTGTGTTTGTACACGTAGATTGCTACCAATGTTTCACATAAATAACCGTAAATAAAAATATCCTGATCGACTGTTTCTGTAATAGGCTATGCTTTAATTATTTTCAATTATGTTATTATATTAACACTCCATCTTAATTGACCCCCTCCCCCTACTCATTTTCCATGACAGAAAAACTACACAATATGGCTTGGTTACAGCTAGACACATGGGAAGACACTGACACTCACAAACACCAAAAGATACACTTTTAATAAAATAGTTCCAATATTAATTTGAGTTTTACTATATTACAGATATCTGTATACGATTCACATTACAGATGTTTGCTATTTCAGTCGCTTTAAAATCACATGAAATACAATACAACCACAGGAGCTTGCAGGGTACATACTTACAGAATATATACATGCAGACATTCTCTATATGTTATGTTGCCTGGAGGCGAACGCCCTTTTTAGTCATTGCCTCAGGTCTTAAAGTATGAAACAATTTATTTTAAAGATATGTTTAGATGCTTTCAACAGTATACACGCTTAGCCTATAGCATATAAAATTATGTATATATACATTGTATTGACGTTTACTGTAACTGTATACATTCCTCAAGATTAAGATGTAGTATACACTGGTTTTAAAACTAATTCACTTTTAACTCGCTTGACCGCTAAAGGAAGTTTTCCGTGTATTAGCCGTATTGCTGGTATATGTACCCTTTACTATATTCTCAGTGTTACCGGTATGTGAGTTTGTGTTTAAAATACGTGTGGTGTACGTGTATGTATGGTTCACCTCAGTTAAAGATCCTTGTCTCGCTTCATTCTGTTTTTATTTCGTAAACACAAAAGCCTCTCCTTAATTTTGTCAACGCGATAATTATTTCGTTAAAGGCATTATTTATCTCGTTAAAACACAAAAGGTGTCTCGTTTAAATGTGATAGTTAGCACATTGCATCGCGTTAGCTATCTCGTAATAACGCAATAGTTTTCCTGTTAAAATGATGTATGCCAACGATTTATCTTTTTCCCATTCGTTTGGTTAAAATTAGGGATGGAGCTTTTAAATATGTTGATTGATTCCCAGAGTAAATAGCAGCATTTTCAATCGTATATTTTAGGTTACCTGACCATATAGGTCATGGTAACCTATTGTGATAGGCTTTTGTCCGTCGTCGTCCGTCGTGCGTCGTGCATAAAGCTTTCCTTGTGAACACGATAACTTCAGTAAATGTTAACCGAGTTTGATGAAACTTTGTATGCAGCCATATATCAATGAGAACTCGGACGAGTTCGAAAATGGGAATTATTCGGCGGTAACCTACAGAGTTATTGCCCTTTGTAATAATATTATTATTGGAGCTTGTGAACATGATAGCTGAAGTAATTATCAACCAACTTTGATGAAACTTTGCATGCGGCCTTATATCAATAAGATCTCGGATGAGTTGGAAAATGGGAATTATTCGACAGTAACTTACAGAGTTATTGCCCTTTGTAATAATATTATTATTGGACCTTGTGAACATGATAGCTGAAATAATTATCAACCAAGTTTGATGACACTTTGCATGCGGCCTTATATCAATAAGATCTCGGATGAGTTGGAAAATGGGAATTGTTCGACAGTAACTTACAGAGTTATTGCCATTTATAATAATATTATTACACTATTTTGTATTGGACCTTGTGTTCACGATAACTTGAGTAAATATCAACCAAGTTTGATGAGACTCTGTATGTAGCCTTATATCAATAAAATCTCGGATGAGTTTGAAACTGGGAATTATTTGATAGTAACTTACAGAGTTATTGCCCTTTGTAAAAATATTATTATTGGACCTTGTAAACACGATAACTTGAATAAATGCTGACGGAGTTCAATGAAAGTTTGTCCGGTAATTATTTGACGGTAACCTGCGGAATTATTGCCCTTTGTCATTATATTATTATTTGTCCCTGTGATGTTGATTGACATTACACAAGAATAGATGTAAATTCATGTGGTACACCTTTTTTTCCATTCATGACGCATTTTTGCTACTAACAATGTGCTATTAAAATTTTGTGCCTTATTTGATTTACGCTTTTACTTGTTTCCTTTAACCAAGAACAGAAAACATACAGTTACCAAGTTTGTTCGAAACAGACCACTTGGGTCAAAATTGGAGTCACACCCATTTATTTCAGTTATCGTGTTCACATGGTCCAACAATAATAGAATTACCAAGGGGAATAACTATGTAAGTTATGGTAACTGAAGTTATTGTGTTAATGGACGATGCAGCAAGGTCACTCGGACCGACGATAAGTATGAATTGGCCCCTGGATGACAGTCCTAATTTGAATCGGATGGCAGGTGACCGTTAAGGCCCATCGGCCTCTTGTTTTTCTGCATATTTGTAATGAACATTGCTCATCATTTTAGAAGTTATCAGAATAAATGATTAGAACAAATGTTGTTGAAATAGTGACAATTACTCTAAAATCCTAACCAGTTTACACCTGATTGTTCCATATCGATCAAGGACTTCTGTAAACGCACTCTCCGAAAATACCGAATGTGTTTTTATTTTTCAAAGTAACAGTTGTTTTGTTACAAAGTATGAGTTTGTTATATCAGTCAGTAACATCATTTTTTTATCATAACCATACTTTATTTTCCGTGAGATTTTCCCTATTTAGTCAGGTCACACGGTCTCGTTACCAATGCCTGAAAAACACATATGCTAATATGTGTATTGTGACCCATATCAGTATAGCATATGGGTTTTTCAGACATTTCACATCAGGGATGGATTCTATTAGTCTTACTAGTAATAAATAGAGGTTACACAACGAGTGGTTGTTGAATATGGTATTTATTTCACTCGAGTTAGCTAATTTTCGAAAGTTACAAAAGACACCAGCTTTAATGTCCCTGCATAATTTGATTGGGGGATAATCCTTTGTCATTGAGTTTCTGCACCATATATTTTCTGGCGCTGTGGTTTGTCAACCGTTTTCCCCGAGGAGCATCTCCCGACTTGCTCGTCAGACCTAATAACAGAATTAACAGTTTTATTTTAAATCTCGTGAAAGTGTAGGCTAGAAATCCACAGGTCTCAGGTGTACCCGGGATAGTTGTCAATAAAACGTGACTAATTTCTACTCCGTGTCATCGTTTTAGTAGAAATTAATATATCTCTACTTATTTTACACTATACAAAAGTAACCACATAAACAAGCAATTTCCCCTCTAACTGCATGCCAGGGAAATAGTTCGTCTGGAGGGGTGTGATGGTTTTGAAACTATTTCCCTCGGAGGGTATTGTTTCTATCGGTCGTTTTTCTTTGAGAACATTTTGTAAAAAATCCTGTACTTTCCTCATGTCACCGTCCGGTTTTTTCTTAGTATTTTTGTTCAACTCTGATGCAATAAAACCATCAACATCAAAATCGTCTAGTGAATCATTGTCAGACATTTCGCTAGAACTGCGGCGATTATTTGAGCGAATGGGGATATATTTTTGACAGTTTTTGTTACTGTCATAGATTGACCAGCCGTTTCTGAGTCACAACCTGTAAACGATGGCGTGATAACGGGACGTGGGGATAACGGAACATTTTCGGACACAGTGACAGACCGTGTTAATGTTTCTCGACCTTTTTTACTAGATACCTTACGCGTTTTAAAGATAAAGGCACACATATCGCCAACATCATACACATTTTGGTGAAATACCGTGCTGGTAACGATGAAATAATTTTTTGCGGTGTCCGTAACTGCAGGCAAGGACATTTGGTTAAAGTGTTGGTGTTTTTTGTGTTACTAGGTGTCCAGAATGAAGCAAGTAGCGGTTATCGGGGCCGGACCCAGTGGGCTACCTGCCATTAAGGCTTGTGTAGGAGGACATTTGGTTAAAGTGTTGGTTGTTGTGTTACTAGGTGTCCAGAATGAAGCAAGTAGCGGTTATCGGGGCCGGAGCCAGTGGGCTACCTGCCATTAAAGCTTGTGTAGAAGAAGGAATGCTGCCTACATGTTTTGAAAAATCCGGCGCACTTGGTATGTAAATTCCTGTTACATTAATGTTTACTGGATAAACATATGTTACCTGCAAACGTCAGGGTATTATTAAAGCAGATTAATTATAGACTTCGTTTTGTAAACGAATAACATATATATATATGCAAATTATATCAAGTCTAATAACGATGTTTTATTTTTTTTATTTTGTTAATTAGTTTGTATTTTTCTAATCATATGATAAAACCAATCTCACTGACGTTCTCATTCCAGTCGATTTTTTTCTGAATTTATCTAAAAAAAAGATCATGTATTTTTAACTTTTAATATTTCACCACTTGATGTGTGAAAGCAGAACATGTGACTAAAATGTGTAATCCTTATGAAGTGTGCAGCTGTAACTGGCGTGGCTGTATACGTAGTAATACCACGGAATTAGATTGTTATCTAAGTCCGTGGTAATACCTACTATCATTGTATGGTATTCCACGTGACTGATGCGCCTGTGACGTCACCTGTTACTATATCATTTTATTCCACATGACTAGTGCGCATGTGACGTGATCTATTATCATCTTATTGTATTCCTCTTGACTGGTGTTCATGTGACGTCGCGTGTTACAATATTATTGTATTTCATTTGACTGGTGTGCCTATGACGTCACCTAGTACTATCTAATTGTATTCCGCTTGGTTTTTACCTTCTTAATGTATTCCACGTGCACGTGACTGGTGTGCCTGTGACGTAACCTGTTACCATCTAGTTCTATATATATATAAATTCTAAATGACTGATGTGCCTGTGACGTCGTCTTTTTCCATCTCATTATATTCCACGTGACTTGTGTTCGTTAGACGTCGCCTGTTATTATCTTATTTTATTACATACCTGTTGAATCTTGTTATAGTAATACAAGCAATTTTCAGACCATGAAATATAACGTTCTGTATTGCACATTTCCAATACGGAATGTTGTATTTACCTACTAGCCGGAACTACTTTGTATGGGAATCCCCTTGTCATGGCGTACTGAAAAGTTTCCGGTATTTGCAAAAATATCAAAGTTTATAAAATCTTTGTATCGATCTCTACCAAAGACGGAAGGTATGTGATAAAAGCAAGACCACACACTTGTGTGTTTTTGCATATGTACAATGTATTCAACGTGGTTGGTGCCTGTGACATCGTCTGTTACAGCATTGTATTCTATTTGAATTGTTTGTATGTAACCGTTTTTTTACCGCTTATTTTGTAGGCGGCCTGTGGAACTACACGAGGGAGGTTCGGGAGGATCAATCCTGTGTAATGAAATCCACGGTGATCAACACTAGTAAGGAAATGCTGAGCTACAGTGACTTCCCCGTACCTAAGGACTACGCCATGTATATGCATCACGCATACGTACTCAAGTACCTCAACCTGTACGCAAAAGAGTTCGACCTTGCCAAATACATCCGTTTCCGAACCGAGGTATGACATGTGACTCATATAATGCCATATTTCATACTGACTGAAAAGTTTAGATGTTCAATTTTCCCTATGATGGTCATCATTGGAAATATTATTATGATATTTCTACATTGTTATGAACACTTTGCGCAAATCCATATTGGTCAGTATGAATTGCATATGATTTGTTGTTACAATAAACATAATGTATAAACCTGACAAAAATGGAGTAAAATATAAATTTGGGTGTCAGTAATGGTTTCCCATCCACATATAAATAAACAAATCATGATATCAACGTTATTTTTACGCGTTATCTTAAACATTTTCTTCAACGAAAGCATTGTACTTTTTCCTTGTCCTTGACCAGGTCCAGTCTGTGGTGATGGCGAATGACTATGAGACTTCCGGTCGATGGGATGTTACAATCAAAGAGTTACAAAGTGGTAAAGTGACCACTGAGACATATGACGCTGTCATGGTCTGCATTGGTCAGCATACCTATAAATACATCCCCGAATTTGCTGGCATCGAAAAATTTAAAGGCAAAATATTCCATTCTCATGACTATCGAGACTGCCGTGGGTATGAAGACCAGAAGGTGATCGTAGTAGGTGTGGGGAACTCCGGAGTAGACACCGCCGTGGATCTGTCCCGAACCTCCAAACAGGTAGGTTTCAAGTAAACAAGCAGGTGTTATGGGAATATTTAGCTGTACACAAATAAAGTTTAGGATAAATAGTGGTATACCCGATTGGAAGGGAAGACTGATTATATAAATACGGTGACAAAGAGCTCATACTATAGACCTATATAATTATAAATCAGTTCCACCAGACAAGACTAATATATTTAAATGAATGTAACGCAAACATTATTTGCTTAGTGAACCATCGTGATTTTTAGATTAAAATACATTAATACGTTGACTTTCGATGTTTGTGAACAGGTGTACCTGAGCACCAGACGTGGTTGTTGGGTATCTAAACGGTTAACGGACAAGGGTGCTCCGGACGATATGCAAAGCTACAGGCGGTATCTAATTGCTCTTCGGGACCGCATTCCGACGGGCATCTTGGAGTTTGGAAAGATAAGGAAGATGAACCAACGGTTTGACCACAAGTCTTACTCCCTGAAACCCGAGCATGGCTACTTCTCTCAACACCCGACCATAAGTGACGATCTTCCCAATCGAATTGCAAGCGGTTCTATCATCGTAAAACCCAACATCAAACGTTTCCTGGAAAACGGAGCTGAGTTTGAAGATGGAACCGTAGAAGAAAACATCGACGCCGTATTCCTGGCAACCGGGTACAAATACAACTTCCCATTCCTTGATAACTCTCTGATAGAGGTCAAAGGAAACAGGGTCGATCTTTACAAACATCTGTTCCCGCCAAATTTGAAACACAACACGATGGTCCTGATCGGCATTATGCAGCAGATAGGAGCCGTGTTTCCCATATCTGAACTCCAAAGTCGTCTGTCTGCCAGAGTGTTTAAGGTACAATTTTTGTTTTTAAGGGTCTGACATTAACTATACCAAAGCATATATGTTTTCGATATTAAAAGACCAACATTTAAAACAAAAATTAATTTCAGGTGTGAAATGTTTGTTAAAGGCAAGTTAAAGGGAAAGAAGTTTACGGTGGAGAACGGGACGGGTGTTAAACGAAAGCATATAACGATGTATACCATTAAAAGGGGGGATTATAATTCTTAAAATGTGTGCCTTCTCTCCGGGACAAGTTATCTCCCCTGTATCAAACTTATTTAACTCTGTGTCATCATTACGCCAAAAATCACAGTGCTGTGTCACTATTTCAAACCCTGTGTTTCTTACAGAACATATTAGGGGAACATCTAAATTTTAAAAGATAATAAGCTTGCTGAATTAAATAAGGATCAGTCTAAATAACTCTCATTATTCCTATATATTATATATTTCAGAAATCAGAACTGATAATGATATTGTTCTAATTAGAGCCTCATACATTTGTTGTTGATTTAACATGTTTATTTATATCTATGCTGCTGAGCTAAACATCTTTTCAGGTGATCTACCGCCGTGTTATTATTGACAGCCTCTTGTTGGTAACTCATGTCAAAATGTTGGTACATGTACATTCATGAAGTTATTGTTGGGATCAAACAATTTTTTGATCTTCGATATTTCTTATTTTCCTTTATCTCAATATTAGGTCTCCAATGTCTTTAAAATGAATATTACCTTATCTCCATTATAATTATTTCTGATATTTGTTCGATATTAAATGCATTCTCATAGCTTAGTGTCACGTCTTACTTTTGTAAGTACTTAGTAAGGTGTTAATTTTCTAGTTATACATTATTTACATTTTAATTAATTGGCGCGTTGTTTATAATTTAAATCTCTTTTTCATCTTGTGGATATTTCATTTTACTTTGCAGTGACACACACTTACCACATTTTCAGGGGGATATCCAATTGCCCTCATCAACTGAAATGTGGAATGACATCAATCGGAAACGGGACGTCGTGAAAAAGCGGTTTGTCCAATCAAATCGTTATACCATGAAGGTGGACATGGTTCCATATATGGATGAGCTTGCAGAGCTTCACGGGTCAAAGCCGGATTTATGTAAGTTTTGAATATTTGATAAACACCCCAACGCCGCAAGATCGGGAATCTCGAACAAGATCAGCCAGTGTCATGGGTTATGGTTCAAAGGTTAATAACCGTTTTTTACAGCAGTGGGTTACACAATAATAATAATGAATCAATGATTTCCTTTCAGCACCAATTCACATTATAATCTTTTGAAAACTTGTTTGCCCTGGCTGGGAAGTGATATATAGTTATTTACTCTTCATTAGTTACATTCGTCCTGTATAAAGGTAAATCTATCAAAATAATGGCAAAGCGATCAATATGATAGCAGAATGATTATAAGTCACTACATCATATCTACTTTTGTATATAGTGATGGTACATGTAAGCACCTTATCTATTGTGTTAAGATACTAAGCATCTTTTTTGTTAACATCTTTGAGTACAGTAAAGTATAATTTGACTATGTTTATCTCATTTTACTAGCAAACACATGCAATTCATTAAGTCATCGCCATAGATTTAACAATTGATTTCCGACAAGTTCGTGATACTGTAATGAAATTACACCGTATTATCAGTCATTATTTTATGTAAGACTAAAAGTGATGTTTATAAGTGACGTAACCGCCTTCTTGACTTTGTTGTTTTGTTTTGCAGACCGAGTCGCTATGTCCGACCCCACTCTGGCGTTCCAATGCTTTTTCGGCCCATGCACGCCATACCAGTTCCGGTTAGAAGGGCCATGTACATGGAAAGGGGCCCGGGAGGCCATTATGACTCAATGGGATCGTACCTGGCACCCAATGAAGACCCGACCGACCGGCCCTTATTCCTGGATAGAGTCCATGGAGACCTACCTATACGCCATTGTGTGTCTCCTAATGGCATATTGTTTGCTTATCGTATTTTTATGAAGGCTATCATATTATCTCGATACTGGATCACAGACATTGTTATGCATTTAGCGTAAAGGCTATCAAACAGACATTTTCAGTATATCAGGAACGATAACTGAGTTGTGGTTTCTGAAATCGCTGTAGGTTTATATCTCTCCTACAGTGTTAAACACAACTATAATATCTTGTTACAATAACGTTCCATTGCAAGCTATTTTTTATTTAATTTTCATTTGATTTAGTAACACAATGATATGCAATAATACGTTTAAATATATACATTGAACGTTTTCCTTATTTGATCAAAGTGACATTCTTCGCATGCGTGTTTCATGTATACCACGCAATTGACACACTTGCATAACTATCGTAGTTGCTACAATTGCTTTTAACTACACTAATTAATCAAAATTTCAATTATTTTATTCAGATGTTTGTATCAAAGAACATTTTTTAATGATTTCGAACTTGAATGTTACTAAAATACTGTGTGTACATTTCCTTGTCAATTGAATTGAATAACTACCTAAATCGACATACCCTGTGCAGGTAATTGTTTATATACCATATGCGTTAACATCCTCATAAAACGATGACGTCAAACGAAAATGTATCAGGCTTCAGCGTTGTTTTTGCTATTTTTCCTTTTAATATAAAGATAAACACGCAACAAAACACACACAGGTGATTGTAACTTTTACCTATAATAAATACAGAATGCCAAACACATTTTCTCTGCATCATACAGCTGTTCCGTCCTTCTCGTCGGTGATAGTAGAGGTCAAAAGGTCGGAAATCCAAATTATCTAAATTACTGTTAAAACAGAGAGGCAGGGTCGTAAGGTGCTTTACCCAAATTGTAAATTGCATGACCCTGGGGTCTCGTGTTTCCCCTTGGGAGGGGGTAAACTAATTGAAAAGTAGACGAACACTGGTTAATTTCTTATTAAATAGTCTGTAAAGTGTGTGCATACATGTATGGACCGTGCTAGTACTCAACATATATAACTGGCCATCTAGTCTACAGCAGACCTCGGAGACTAAATACATCCACCAGCAGAAAGATGAACGAAACACACAAGCAGGTAATTGCACCTTTAGAATGTATGTATTCATAGGTTGACACAATACAAAGGGGCGGCAGCGACCTAGTGGTTAAGGCGTTTGATATTCTGCTACATGTACCACTAAACTAGCTGCGGGAACCGTAGCTTCTATATCGTCCGATAACAATAAAAAAAAAAAAAAAAAAAAATCGGACAAAGAAGCTACGGTTCCCGCAGCTACCACTAAACATGTAGCCCTCCACCACTGGGTCGCGGGTTAGAGACCTAAATGGGGCAGTCGCCAGGTACTGGCGGCCGGTCGGTGGTTTTTCTCCGGGAACTCCGGCTTTCCTCCACCACCAAATCCCGGCACGTCCTTAAATGATCATAGCTGTTAATTAATAGGACGTAAATCATAAACAAACCAAACCAAACTACAAGCACTAGTTCTACACTCGAAAATGTCTGATGTATTTTACTGTGACTCATGCATGTGATCACACATTTACACGTATTATCTTTATAATGAAGAAATAAATAGTCTGATACGACAGTAAAAACGTGATATATGAGCCGCCGGCTGGGATTTGGGTCCTTAACTTCTAGCCAATGAAAAGGGAGAAATACGGGAATTCCGACAGACGTCATATTTGTATTCTATTTCTGTTTCGCGCGAAAACGGAAATCTCACTTGCTTTACAAGAATGTACAATATAACTTCTATTATTCCCAAAACATATACATATAATGTACCTACTGAAACTAGAAGGCTATCTCTTAATTTTCAAACAATATTATACACTTTAGATATCAATAATTAATCAAATCGACTTAAATATCGAAGCGACAGGGATTTCCCGTTTTCTGGTGCGCAAACTTCCGGTAGATTGTTTACATTTCGCCATGACAGACACGGTGGCTGCGTTTCTTCCACCCAATTTAAAGTTTATGAATTGATGTGATAGTGTGATAGCTGCAGAGCTAGACGATCAGTTCAGTCACTTCTTTCCCGTTTCTTCTGCTAGTCATCGTGATAAATGTAACTGTTGGCCAGGTTCAGGCGTGTCGGACAAGGGGGTGCATAGTACTAATATTAATACCCGGCCTCCTCTGCCCCGGCCGGGTATTAAATCGATCCCATGCCTTGTAATGGAGCAAGCCCGGTGTGAATCACACCAGGGCGATTTTAGAATTAATTGACAGTAAATTGGTCCACATCCATAAATAAGGTTGCAATATGAACTATTTCTGTTGATATCCTGCACAACTTGAAGTTAAACTCTGCCTAAAATGTCGTTAAATTATCAAGTAAACGTAGCAAGCGTAATCGAAATCGATTTTTTTCCCAATACGGACTTTGTTAATTGCGTAAAAGAGTTTTTGCATGGGTAAGGATTCGTATTTTCAACAATTATGCAATATTTTGATAACATTATACTCATATGAGGCGTGAATTATATGTAATCTTACAGATTAACACTTTTGATTTTGCTCCATTAGTTGGCATAGGACCGCTTCGTAGCTCTGACGACGCAATATATAAAAGAAATATCGTCGACAGAAAGCTACGTTATCGCAGCTAGGGGGTGCAGGCTAACCTGCACGTCTACATTTGTACAATGTGACTTTTTCGACAATCATTTTTCTACGTACACCATCCACGTACTTAGACTTAATCTAATTACGTGGTATATCATAGTATAGAGACTGATGAATGGTATAAAGTACATAAACCCTGAATTCGATCGGGAACTTCATAAGTTTGAAACTTGATCATGTGATTCATTGATTTGCAATTGTTGTTTTTCAATCTTTTTTGTAAAACACCCCGCGCTTGATCGTTGGTAAAATCTTTTCTGACCAATATGTGTCTATACGTGTTCTATATGACTCATCAATCTTTTGCGAGATAGACTATGTCGTAGACTATGCATAAACTGACCTTTTTAGGGGCACCATCTGGTTTAAATATAAAGTAATATAGACGTCTTATTGTTAACGTAATTGATTATACCATCACAGCATGTCAGTGAAACAATGTTTATACAGCAATATGATCCGGGCTGGCCGTGTTCAGCTATACGATCGAAGTCCTTCGTACATGTAGACATATGTGACACGCCGAGAGCTTCATACATGTTCTCATAAAACTTAAATACCTCACGATAACTCGGTAATTTAGCCCCCTGAAATCCATCGTTTCTGATTGTACATAGTTGTTTTTCACGTCCATTTGTACTGGCCTAAGGACGGTCTTTCTGTGGCTTTACAAGTTTTCTAGGGTTTTCATCATGTCAAAGTGTTTACTGGATGTAGAAAGTGAGGCCAAAATGTGTAGTGATGTGATATGAGTATTAAAATTTTCCTTGGCCAATAAGATTATGGGAAAATAAACAAAATATAACTTGTTATTTATTATCTACAAAAGACACAACAGTATTGAATATAGGAATAACATATTCTGTGCCTTAACTAAAATGCCTGTTTTGTTTTCTGAAAACTATGTTTAACAAATATTTGAGAAAAACAATCACTAAATTAAAACAGCAAGATTTTGAAGGTTTTTCATTCAAATGAAAAATTAAATGGGGAAAGTCTGAGGCTAAGTATACCAACATTTTCAACTAAAATAGAATATTCAAATACTTATTACACAGGATTGTACTGTAGTGAGTGGTTGGGTGGTGACGTGGATAGCGCACTTGCCTTTCACCAAGGCGGCCGGGGTTCAATTCCCCAATCGGACGTGAACAGATATGGGGCCACCTGCCCGATCACGTTGGTTTTCTCTGGGTAACCCAGTTTCCTCAAATAACACCACCACCCGCCCCTCACCCCAATATAAGCTGAAATATGTTGTTTCATATTGTTATAAAATAAATAAAGTTTACCTTTAATTCCTGTACGAGTTTTGACCAAAGTGTCGCAAGAATATATACGCTAAAGAGAAATAAAAATTGTAATTAATCCGTAACACAGAAGGCCATGATTTTCTTGATTTTTTTTCCTTTTTCTTCGTTGCATTTTTAGATATAATCTCTTTAATACAGCAAAAACTCGTTGAGCTGGGCATGACTCACATTCAAAGTGGCGACGTAAAAGACAGTGTCCACGCTTGCAACGTCAAAAATCGCACCACTTTATTTCATGTACGTTCATTCCAAAACTCGTCCAAATTAATTTCATGTATGGCATGGTCATTACAAAGTGGTAATATAGATTTGTGAATACGGATTCAAGTTTTTGTTGTAAACATGTTTTTGTCACAGCTATAACCGGAAGAAAACTGTAGAGTACAGAAGTATTATGTGTACCGTGGTCATATGGAACCCTATTTGTTTTATATTTCAGTATTTGTGTATGACTTAATAACATATTTTATTATTTCCATTTAAATGCTCTGGAATTTCCCTTTACAATCATGCTTAAACTTCCGGAGTGAAGCCAGAAATAAGCAGTTAAAATTAATATACATATGTTACCCGCCGGTATCAATCTTAAAAGTAACGTTAGAAATAATGACGTTGTAAGCGACGTCAGAAGTCATATAGCATACTTCTATGTATGACGTATCTTTAAAGTGGCGTCAAATCATCAAATATTGACGGACTGACATATTTTTTTATATCATTTTGATCAGAAATGTCTCTAGATTTCGAAATCATAAAAATAACAAAATTGATTTTTCCTACTTAAGGACCCTAATCCCAGCCGGCGGCTCATATGTCCTTATATCTCACAGCCATATGCGTGATTTACATGTCGACTACATGAAACATACTTATTACACGAAACATAAATTTTCACATTGATTACGCGAAACGTCAATTTGAAGACTAATGGCACGATACTTTAATTAACGGAGACTTAACATAATAAGCTGTTTACAAACCAGAGACGTGGTCAATCAGGATGTATAGTCGAACTGCTTACAAACCAGAGACGTGGTCACCTAGGATGTATAGACGAACTGCTTACAAACCAGAGACGTGGTCACTTAGGGTGTATAGTCGAGCTGCTTGCAAACCAGAGACGTGGCCACTTAGGGTGTATAGGCTAACTGCTTACACACCAGAGGAGTGCTCACTTAGGGTGTTTAGGCGAAATGCTTACAAACCAGGGACGTGGTCACTTAGGATGTATAGTCGAACTGCTTACAAATCAGAGACGTGGTCACTTAGGGTGTATAGGCGAATTGCTTACAAACCAGAGACGTGGTCACTTAGGGTTTACAAACCAGAGACGTGGTCAATCAGGATGTATAGTCGAACTGCTTACAAACCAGAGACGTGGTCACTTAGGGTGTATAGTCGAACTGCTTACAAACCAGAGACGTGGCCACTTAGGGTGTATAGGCTAACTGCTTACACACCAGAGACGTGGTCACTTAGGGTGTATAGGCTAACTGCTTACACACCAGAGGCGTGCTCACTTAGGGTGTTTAGGCGAAATGCTTACAAACCAGGGACGTGGTCACTTAGGATGTATAGTCGAACTGCTAACAAACCAGATACGGGGTCACCTAGGATATATACATGTAGGATAACTGCTTACAAATCAGAGAC